GGCTGGGGGTATGGAACCATGAGCTGTAATTTGACACATTAAATGGAGTAACTATCTCCGTCGTAGTCTTTGAAATTTTGGTTAAGTTTTACGTCACGTTGACCCTCAGTATCAGCTTGTGTTTGGGTGACAAAAACAATCACCCTCACCCTCACCCTCACCCTCACCCTCACCCATAAGCATGAGAAGCAAAAAAGTCCAATATTTTTCCCTTTTTTGGGTGGAGATTGGGGGCATTTCTAGGGTTTTTGCGAAATTATTTTTTGTTTTCGATTTGCAAAAACAACCATATTTAGAACATGAATTTGGCACAAACATTACCTAATGTTCTTTTTCCTCGGAGAAAAGTTATGCTAATATTATCTACATCATTTAGCTTAGTATACCAGATCTAGATTCGTAATAACTAAAAATTTCTTAGCATGACTCACAAATATTAATGAAAAATATATGAAATTAGTGTGTACAAATTTAGTTTTAATGATTTGGAATTATACTCAGAAGTTTTGAATTTAAATCTTAACGATCTTTTAGATTCAAGTTACAAGAAATTTATTTATCCTGAGTGACCGTCTTAATGTGTGTGGTGGATAAAGATTAATTAATGTCACTAATTATGGTTTTTTATTTTCAATTGTCACGTCGGACACTAGACTGTATGATTCGATCCTATCGTCTCTTGTGTTTGGTGGGACGTTGTTCGATATAATTCATTTTATAGCGTCTTTTTTTTTTAAAAAAATGGGAGATACTTTGTGTAAATCATTTTTCTATTTAAAATGATGCCACCTATTGGAAAAANAAAAAAAAAAATGGGAGATACTTTGTGTAAATCATTTTTCTATTTAAAATGATGCCACCTATTGGAAAAAAAACATATTGAAAGGACCTAAATCCAAATTTAGAATGTTTGTGCAAATAGATTATTCTACATATTTTTCAAGATGCATTTATCCTCAACACCCCACAACTATTTGTGAGAGATTGTNACAATAAACTTGAAGAGTAAAATCAAAATTGGGGTTGAGTATGTGTCATTATTTGAAATGGTGAAATTTTTCATTTTGGGTGTTGAGTATTTCAAAGAAAACAATCTCCTTTGTATCACTATAGTAACACTAATGTTAAGGAAATTTTGTGATCTAATTTTAACTTAATAGACAAACGATTTATTTGTACATCAAACTACCATATATAACTATTAGAATATATTATTTTCATATAAAACTTTTGTTAATTATCATAATATTTAATAAACAATTTCTATATATAACTCAATTA